AGAATTCTACTTACTCTTATGCTTTTGTCTCTCATATTACAAATTAATATGTGTCTGCAATTTCTTGTTTTCATCTCAGAGAAACCCCTCATTATTCTCTGAAGATTAGCATTTGTTTTCCTCTTTATTTCATTGTTGATTTGTTAGCTGCTTCATTGGAACACAGGCTCATGAGGTCATCATTGTTTAATCTCAGTTTGCTGGCTTTGAGAATCTATTCATCCTGTATGCTCGGCATGAACCAATAAATAGGTTCCATTTCCCTTCTAATGCAGTGCTATTGAGTAAACTTTGTTTGCTTTATTCCCTCATTCTTATGAATGTAGCTCATCTGTATCCATATAACCAGCTTCTAGACTTGGATAAATCTGATATTCAGAGCATGCTAAACTCTATCATTCTGCAGTTACTCTCCCCCAGGGTGCTACAACTTCCATTTCTTGTCCATTTTCTGGTTCGCTTACCACCAATAGGTCAGAATGCGCATTCCCTTTGTTGGTGTCCTTGACACGTTGCATGAAGAAGCAGTCATGCACAGCTCATTCTGGCTGATTCATTTTCTCTTTCTATTTACTTTCCTTTAGGTATCATTTTATTGGATTATTTATGATGGAACTCCTTCAGTACCTTATCTATTTTGTATACATATTCTCTGTATTTCATTTCCTGTTAACATCTTAAGCCATCTCATTTTGCACAGCACTTAAAGTCAATACCAGTGTCTACTGGTCCAATTGTCTTTCCTCCTCACCTGTTAGTTTACCTCACATATCAAAACCTCTAACAATTTGGAAACGTTGGAGCATCAAACCATCCTAGTGACAAGTATTCTCCTGTTTCAGTTTATTCCACTACTGATTTGGGTAGCTCCAATGCCATACATGTTCCTGTTACTTTAACTCTAATGGCATTTGATGACTTTGCATCCTAATTCCTAGCTGTGTTTCTCACAGTATTTGAACATTTATCCCTCCAGCGTAATAGCTGTACATCTTAACCCTCTGGTTGAAGGAATGCGCTCTTTCCTTTCCTGATTTCATGGTCTAATTTTACCTTCCCGATATTATAAACTCAGTATCTCTCGATTCTAATTCCAGGGGGCTATGAACAATGCCAACCAAATAATTGGGTGGGATTTAATGAGTGTTCTGGGCTGGGAAGTATGGCAGGCTAGCTGAGACAAGCAGGAGTCAAAAAGTCAAATCTTATTTGTGGGCTCAGAGTTAAGAAAGCTGAGAATACCTCCAGTGCAGAAACAGGCCCTTCGGCTCAAAAGTCCACACCCAGACCCGTTCCCCTATGAGCCACCTGATCTACACATCCCTGAACACTATGGGAAATTTAGTATGACCAATCCACCTAGCCTGCACATCTTTGGACTGTGGGAGGAAACCGGAGCACCCGGAGGAAACCCACACAGACACAGGGAGAGTGTGTAAACTCCACACAGACGGTCGCCCAAGAGTAGAATTGAACCCAGGCCCCTGGTACTGTGAGACAGTGCTAACCACTGAGCAACCATGCCACCTGATAGCAGTTCAGGCCTTGTGGTAGTTTCCTATTTGTAATTTATTTGTGTACCATGAATGCTGATTATACACAACTTTCTGAAATTAAGGCCTACCTTCAAGATGAAGTCATGGCACACAGGAACCTCATGGCACATGGTTCATATTCGTTTAAAGATGGCAGCATGTGTCAGTTTTGTGTCTGATGTGAATAGTTGCCTTTTTCAAACAGAGCACTCAAATGGAATACCTATGTGTGTTCTACATCTAATGTTTATACAACCATGGAAGCAGGAAGAGAGGTAGGCTGAGCTAATGATCTGGGAGCACAGTTTCGTATCCCAGCACCGAAACTAAAATAACTTGAAATATAAAACTAATATCAGTCACAGTAACCATGAAACTATCATTCATTATTATATAAAAGAAAATCTGGTTCACTAATGTCCTTTTAAGGCGGTCTATTTATCATCTGTCAGTCAGATCCATAGCAATTAGGTTGACTTTTAATGGCTCTCTAAAATGGCCTGGCAAACCATTCCATTCAAGCGGCACTTGGGGGTAGGCAACAAATGCTGTCCTTTCCAGCGACACAACATGCCGAGCTGCTACCGGTGATTTGCAGGTGTGGTATCTTGCAGCTTGTCTCACACACGTGCGTTAAAGAGAGGACCAATATCCTCTTTCATCTTGATAATGAATGTACAAGGATCATGACAGATAAAGCCCACCAGGCAGCTAGAGTTATCGGCTTCACAGCTGAGGATCTTCAGCCTACAATGCAAGAGTGCTGTCAGAATGTATCAACGCAGAGGGTGGTGGTCAAAGGCTGTTTGTGTGACTAGAGACCAGTGTCCAGTAGCATACCACAATGAGAGATCATTAAATACTCTGAATGGCAGAATACTGAATTGCAATGTATTTGGATCATCCTGAAGCTTCAAGAAGAAGTTTTAAAGCCACCATTAAAAGTACTCATATTCTGTGGGAATTTGGATGGGTAGAGACTGTGAGCAGCCCAGGCTGTTTGATGTTACACAGTAGTAGGAGATTGCCATCTCAAATCCACAAGGAACAGGAATAGTTTGACCAGCTAAAGTCGGATCAGTGACTTTCCTTCGGGAGAACTTGAAACAGTTGAATCCGTGGAATGCTGGATTCTCATCACTGAAACAATTTAGAGAAATTGTCTTTCCTTTTCACATTGTCATTCCAATAGACGTATTGTGAGGAGAATCTTTCAAAGGTAAAATATCAACACATTAAACACTGAGCTAATGGCAGGAGTGTGATGGACTTGCCTGGATGGGTGCAGCTCCAACAACACTCAAGAAGGTTGACACCATCAAGGACCAAGTAGCCCACTTGATTGGCACCACATTCATAAACACCCATTCTGTCCATCCACCAATGCTCAGTAGCAGCAATGTGTACCACAAATGTTTACCCATTTCTTCATCTGTCTTCTGTTTCTCCTCACCCTTCTTCTACTGTCTTTTACTCGTTTAGTCTTCCTTGAATTTCAGATCCCTCTTAAGTTCCTAGCTCTCTGCCAATCAATCCCCAACAACACTAGCAAAATTCCCAGTGAGGAAGCTACCCTCAGTCCTGCTAAGATGTAACCCATCTATCCTGTACAGGACCCGCCTTCCCCAAACTGGTCCGAATGTCTCAGAAATTTGATGCTCTCCTTCCTACATGAGTTCTCCGCCCGCGTATTCAGTCAATTGCTTCTCCTGTTTGTAAACTCACCAGCTTGTGGCACTGGAAATAATCCTGACATTATTGCTTTGCAGCTCCTGCTTTTTAATCTCTTTCCTAGATCCCTGAAATTTTGTTTCAGGACCTCATCCCCTTCCCTCTGCAGTCATCAGCATAGACATGGACTGTGATCTCTCTGTTTGTCCACCTCCAGAACAATGTCCCACGGCTGGCTGAGTCACAGAAAAGGTAGAGTAAGCCACTGGAAAGGAAAACTTTGGCCTTCATTTTAAAGCGATTTGAGTGCAGAGTCACAATGTCTTGCTGCAGTTGTATAGAGCATTTTAAAACCACACCTGGAGTATAATG